ATAGACTAGACTAGACTATAGACTAGACTATAGACTATAGACTAGACTATAGACTAGACTATAGACTAGACTATAGACTAGACTAGTCTAGTCTATAGTCTAGTCTATAGTCTAGTCTATAGTGTAGTCTATAGTCTAGTCTATAGTGTAGTCTATTCTATAGGTTGGTATATAGTATATTTTGTGGTCTAGTCAATAGTCTAGTCTGTTATTAATCTAGTCAATAGTATATTCATATAGCATTAGTATGTGATTGTAATTTATTACAATTTTGTATTTACTGAAATGTTTTACAAAATATGTATAATATGTATATTACTTAATAAACTAGTCAATATACTAAATGTCACTATTACACTATAAATATACATACAGACGTATGTACATATGTAATCAATTTAAAATTTAACACATACATATTTAAGTATGCATATTATATGTGATATTAATTAAAATCTAAAGCAAATAACTTTACATACATACTGCATAATTTTCATTTATTACATAAACAATGTTGTTAGATGATTAAAATCAAAATGTTGTTGTTTAAATATTTATTACAAAACTTTACCATAAATTTCGTAATAAGCTACAGTAAAATTATGCAATAATACTTGTATTCCACTGTAGTCAATGTTGTTTTCTCTTTAAGGTCGTGCTTATTTATTTGAAAATGAATTAGTTGTCCAGCAAAAACTTATATTTTTAAAGAAATGCTATTTGCTTTAAAACTAGAATGAATTGTGTGATTCTTTGTTTTTAGGAACTGTTTGAAAAACTCAACCAAGTTAAAAAATATTAAGTTTTTATTAAATTTATGTATAACCTTATACAAATATTTCCATTTATTTACATTTTATAATGTAAATTTAAAGTCTGTAGCATACCCTAAGGATGGAATTTTAGTAGACTATATGTTGCATATATTTTAATGGATTTATTATTTTTTTTCTGCTCATTTTTTTTTTGTATGCATTAATATTTTGCAATGCCTTAAGTCTTAATACATATATAAATATTTTACTAAATAATTTTGATTTGTTTAAAAAAAAATTTATATAGAAAAAATTTTATTAAATACTTAAGGCAGCTAAAAATTTATATGAATTAAATCCTATAAAATAGAAAAGAAATGCACTAAAACTAATAACAACGGGAATTTATATAAAAATTAATAAAATAAAAAATATGTTAAAAACGTGCAGCATATTTTAAGGTGTTAGATTTTATCAAATAATATTGTATACTTATAAAGTGTTAGTATAAAATTTTTATAAAAATCCTTTAAATTTCAAACTAAATATTTATTTGAATTTTTATGCTTTTAGTGAGATTTGTATGAATGTCGTTTTTTTTTAGTCTCTTTATATTTTATCCTACACAATATTGAGTTCATGACAAATAGCTAAAAGTGACAGTTCAGAAATTCTATTGTTGTCAATTAAAATGTTTTTTTTTCTCTGTACTTTTAATATGTGTAGAGTACTTTTACAACGAAAAAAAAAGAATTGAAGCAAACATTTTTATACAGGGGGAATGTTAAAAGTCTATGGGAAAAAAATAGGGAAACATGTAATAATAAGTAACAAAACTGCCGACACGAGTAGAGGAAATAAAATATAAAGTGAATGTGACATTGCTCTTAAACACATTTGCTGTCAAAAATAGTTATAGTCTAAAACAAAAAAAGAACAGAATTAACAGCCAAAACCTTTTTTCTATGTCGATATATCTCTAGAGCAGTAGATAAGAGGAAATTTCATTCAATTAGTTTGAGTTTCTTAGAAATTGTGTATATCTAGTAGCATCTATTACTAATTGACTCAAGCACGTTATACATACATGCATATCTTTTTTATATTTTTAACGATAATTTGGCATGTTCTAAGCTTGTTAGTATGTAGTTACATTAGTAAGATAAAGAAGTGAATACATTCTTTTTTCTATTATTTGTTCTTGGATTTCTAAATATTTGTTTAAATCTTGAAATGATTTTTAAGGAAAAAACAAAAATAAGATAGAGTGCCATATTCGGTTTATGGATCGACTAATAGAATTATTAAATATTTTGTTGCCAAAGAGATCTGGAATCTTTGGAAAATTGATATCAACAAACATATAGACAGACGGACAGATAGACAGACAGAAAGACGGACGGACAGACAGACAGAAAGACAGACAGAAAGACGGACATAGCTTATTCGACTCTGCTATCTATAAGGATCTAGAATACATATAATTTATAGGTTCGCAAAATTATAATGTAGAAATTACAAACGCGATAACAAAATTACATATATAACCATCTCACGAACTGTATAAAAAATGGCGCTAAAGCACACCGAAACGCTTATGGTAAATGTGTTCGATCGGTTTAAACGTGCGAGTAATGGTTTGTGTGGCTCAGAAGTGGTGATATTGACATGGAATACAAAAAAGTTTCAAGACCAACAAATTTCTCAAAACGTTTATTCCAAAAGTAAATTAGCTTCCATACGAATTTAAATCGAGACATCTTGAACGAGATATCAGAAATGCTGCTTGATCGCTAAAAAAGAATATAATTTGTACATCGAATCATTACTTGCGATGAAAAATGTGATATTTTATGATAACTCGCAGAGTTATGGTGAATTTGTTGTATCGCTTCAAAGTGCGAGCGATAATTTTTACGACTCAGAAGTGGTAATATTGATATAGAAGATAGAAACATTTTAAGATCAAGAATATCTCAAAAGCAGGGAAATTGGCTACCATCCGAATTGAAATCGAGAGATCTTGAAATCGCTTGATCGCTATAAAAGAATGATCGCAATGAAAAATGGATCATTTAAGATAATCTGCAGCGTAAGAGACTGTATACGAAACCCGGCCAATTAGTCGAATTGACACCAAAGCCACGTGCCCCCGACAACCGGTTCTTTGCACCGAAACGACTCGAAGTTCAACGAACATCGACCAAGGAGCAGCAACATCGACTTTGTACGTCTTGTTGCTACAACAACAGAGCCAAATAATCATGTCTTTTAGGTGGAACCAAAAGGAATCTATCTATTATAAGCTACTGAAATCTGGTATTATCACCACAGGAAGCCTGGGGCCAAATTACGGCATACGATATCGATCGAAATCTTAATAGAATCTAAATGGAGATTTCGATCGATATCGTATGACATTATTTGGGCCCTGTACCGAATACAACTGATTCATTGTCTGACAATATATAAAAGAGTGATAATGCTGTATTAGCAAAGAACTGTTTGGGTTGCCTTACATTATAGTCCAGACTTTGCTCTGTCCAACTATTATTTGTTTCGTTTAATACGGAACGTTCTCTTTGGCATACGCTTCCCTTTTGAACAGGGTATCGGGAATTGGCATGATTTGTTCTTGGCCTCAGAAGGTGAACATTTCTTAACTTCAAAATAAAAGCTAAACATTTGAAAAAGCTAAGTTATACGCCCAATAAGGATATATAGTATGGGTCCTCTATTAGGTTATAAATCGATTTAGCCATGTCCGTCCTTCTGGCTATTGAAAGCACGATTAGGGTCCAAACGGAAGACATACATGTTCCACAAATGTTGTTTATTGATAAGGTTTGTTTTGTATTGAAAATACCCAATATTGGTGTAGTATTTCTCCTAAGACCCCTACGAATTTTCACCTGCCGACATATAGTTTAAACATTCATAAAATTGTTGATTATGCAGTAATCGTGTTCAAAGTCTGTAGATAAGTTTTATGTTAATTAAGCCATGTCCATCCGTCCATCTTCTGCAATCACGTCTAGGGTCCAAACGATGGACAAACATGTTCTATAAATATTCTGTTTTGATAAGTTTTGTTTTGTATTTAAAATGGTCAATATAGGACTAGTATTTCTTCTAAGACCCCTACAAAGGTTCTCCTGCCGAAATATAGTTTAAAAAGTCATACATTTATTCATTATGCAGCTATCGTGATCAAAGTTTGATCAGAATTTGTACAGCAAAGTATCGCGTAAATCGGTCCTTATTTAAGGTCTCTTACAGAGAATGACTCTCATTTTTATTACTTGCTAAAAACAAAGTTTCTGAGAATCAAAATCTTTGGTTCATAACTAAAGCCTCTTACAGAAAATCCATCTAATATTTCAAAATTATTTTAACGAGATGTGCGACAGACATGATTTCTTTAATGATATTAATCATTCTTTCGAATTCTCTATAGTTCGATTCTTAATTGATTCAAGGCCCCATTAAAGACCTTCTACTGAGAATCACCATGATGCTCAACCTATATATTATGTTAACAGATTCCGAAGGAATCGATCTATAGTCCCAAAGGAACTTTGATAAGTTACGAGATATCCGATTATATTACTCTTACTTGTTAAATATGTATTGTGGTCTCCATTTGGGAAGCATATGAAAAAAAAAAGCTGTATGAAAAGCTTGTTAAATGAATGTGGGTCTTCTAATTTAAACAAATGAGCAATAAATTTTATACAAAATTTATATTAATTAACAGAGTTATGAAAAAATAAAAAATGTTTGTTGTTTTTACTCACTGCCTAATTGTATGCTTTAATTATGTGATAAAAATGACACCTTAAAGTATGCTAATTAATTTCTATGTAATATAATACTTCTATATATTAGGAAGGGAGGAAGGCAGATTTGTTAATGACAGTTAAAAATTACAGACAGAATAGGTTTTATTGGGAAAAGTGTTTCGTTTAAAATAATTTTTAAATTTTTTGAAATTTAAGAGCCTAAGAGAAGAATGAGAAGTAACAGCAATACATATGTAATAAATGTTCGCATTGTTACATTGTAATGTTATATCATGTTATGACAATTTAAAATATGTTAATGTATTAAACTAAATTAAGGACATAAACTACATACAAACATAACTTGATACATATGTAAGTCTGAATATAATTCATACTTTGTACATTATATATTTATATACACATAAGTATGATTTTTAGATTTAGAAGAAAATCCACTTACCATCTATTTTACAATTAACCGAATTGTTACTCTTTTTGGATGAGTTGCGTGACATTTGGGAATGATTGGTTTGTGAATGTGAAGGACTTGAATCGGTGGAGCAACGAGCATTTGTTGTGGTAAATGTTGAGCCACCAACACCACCACCGCCACCAACATTTTGACTGTTTGCATTGTTGTTATTTGCTATTGATGCATTTGTTGTAGTCGTTGTTGTGGGATTTTGAAATGCAGCCATGGGACTGGGTGTAACAGTAACCATTGGATGTACACAGCCTGCAGGTTGTTGGTTTGATGATGATTTTCAAACGAAAAAATACCCATGATGATAAGCCCAATGATGATAATGATGTTAAAGATGATGATGTTGCAACAAAAGTATATAGAGGAGACGCACACAAACACACACAAGTACACGAGTATATGAATAAATGAAAACGAGAAAAATATATTAAATCCCCCATCATTGAATAAAAACTATATAAAATAGAGTCAAGTACAATTCATAGCAATGATGAAAGTTTAAAACCAACTATATAACTTTTGTTTATGAAATGTAAATAATCAGGTCTATTGTTTTTATTATAAAGATGAAGACTTTAGTTATTATTCTTCTAAGTTTGAAGATATATGTTAGTTAGTTGTTTTTAAACTTTCATCTTTGTTTAGCAAAAAAAAAAAAAATACGTACTATAAAAGAGTAGTAAAAACAAGATGTGCAGAAAATTAGATTAAAATGTTTTGTTTCAGAAATTTTAAGCCAATTAAAATCAAAACATGAGAACAAATATGCTTGATATCAAGATATAATCATACACTTAGAGAAAAAAAAAAATGGTTGAAGCAATTTATATGAAATTTTTACAAGACATTTATAGTCTAAAGTCTGGCCCATAGGCGACAAAACAATACATGGTCAATATACCATTAAATAAATACGTTAATTGTAGACTAGTCAACAGACATGTCAATAGACTAGTCAACAGACTAGTTAAAAGAATAGTCAACAGACTTGTCAATAGACTAGTCAATGGAATATACAGCAGACCAGATTAGTCAATAGACTAGTCAACAGAATAGTCAATAGGCTACTCAACAGACAAGTCAATATACTAGTTAATAGACTAGTCAACAGTCTAGATAACAGATTAGTCAATAGAAAAGTTAACAGACTAGTCATCAGACTAGTCAATAGACTAGTCATTAGACTAGTCAATAGGCTATTTAACAGACTATTTATAGACTAGTCAATAAACTAGTCTAGACTATTCAACAGACAAGTCAATATACTACATACATACTAGTCAATAGACAAGTTAACAGACTAGTCAACAGTCTAGTTAATAGACTAGTCAACAGCCTAGTCAAAAGTCTAGTCAATAGACTATTTAATAGACTAGTCAACAGACTAGTTAACAGACTTGTAAACAGACTAATCAATAGACTAGTCAACAGGCTAGTTAATAGAATAGTCAACAGGCTAGTTAATAGACTAGTCAAATGACTAGGCAGTATTCTAGTTAACAGACTAGCCAGTAGACTAATCAAGAGAGTAGTCAACAGACTAGTCAAAAGAATTGACTAGTTAACAGACTGGTCACAAGACTAGTCAATAGACTTGTCAACAGACTAGTCAACAGACTACTCAACAGGCTATTCAATATACTAGTCAATAGACTAATCAATAGACAATCAAATGATTAGGCAGTAGTCTAGTCAACAGACTAGCCAGTAGACTAATCAAGAGAGTAGTCAACAGACTAGTCAATAGACTGGACGAGTTAACAGACTGTTCAAAAGACTAGTCAATAGACTTGTTAACAGTCTAGTCAATAGACTAGTCAACAGACTACTCAACAGACTAGCAATAGACTAGTCAACAGACTAGCAATAGACTAGTCAACAGACCAGGCAATAGACTAGTCAACAGACTAGTCAGTAGGCTAATCAAGAGACTAGTCAACAGACTAGGCAATGGACTAGTCAACAGACTAGTCAGTAGGCTAGTCAAGATACTAGTCAACAGACTAGCAATAGACTAGTCAACAGACCAGGCAATAGACTAGACAACAGACTAGTCAGTAGGCTAATCAAGAGACTAGTCAACAGACTACGCAATAGACTAGTCAACAGGCTAGTCAGTAGGCTAATCAAGAGAGTAGTCAACAGACTAGTCAATAGACTAATCAACAGACTAGTCCATAGACTAGTCAATAAACTAGTCAACAGACTTGTCAATAGACTAGTCAATAGTCAAGTCAACAGTGTAGTCAACTGACATGTTCATGAACTAGTTCCTTGAAATTATATTATAAACATTGGTTGCAACCCTGTCAAACTCTGTTTTTCTCCAAGTGTATATGTTCCTGTTGCCAGAGTATCGCACAAATCATTTGCAACTCAAACAAAACTCATTTGAAAATCAATTTGAACGGAATCAAACAAAACGTAAAGTAAACAGAGCAGCTAATTAAGCAAATAAAGAAAATACCTTAAAAATGGCTTAAATACCAAACAAAAGACAAAAATGAATGAATTTGCAAAAAAAAAAAAAAAAAAGAAAACGACTAAAAGAAAGAAACTCATTTGGCACAACTCACCTGTTTTACTGGCATCATGTGTTAAATGACCACTTAACGAATGTAGTTTGTCCGTAATGCCATGATGTAATTTATCCACAAAACTGCTACGAACATTTGTTGTGGTTTCCGCACCACTACTGGGTGAAATTTCCACAATACTATTTATATTCGCTAAAGAACCTGAAAATGACAAAGATTTAAAATAGAAATTTAAAATTTTATTAAAAAAAATTAGTGTTATTTTTGAGAACCAATTTCAATAGCCTTGATTAGCTTATGAAATAAATTTCTTTGTCAATATTTTGCTACTGCTAAATACATATTTATTTACCTTTTGTATGAGCCGTTACCGGAGCACAGGCAGCCGTACTACTAATGGCTGCCATTTGATTGAGCGTCTTGCCCTGTTGTACATTATTAACATTGGCCTTAAGAAACGATACAAATAAATGTTGCGCCAATTCAATGGGTGTTTCACAGTCAAGAAAAGCATCTAGAAAACGCCGAAAGCCATCGTAATCAATGTCCTTGAATGGTTAAAATATGTAAAAAGAGTTATGAGAGAAATTATTGAAATAGAAATGTAAATAAATAATAGAAATATATATATGAATTGTTGGATGTAGTTGTAAGATTTTGCTAGAATTTCATTGAAATAAAAAACAAATTCTTATAGAATTTGAAAACTTTGAAAACCTTGATAGCTAAAGTTGTGAGATAAAATACAAATGGAATATTCAAACCAGTAGGGAAATTTTTAATGGCAAGGTATATTTTACTTATAAAACCCTATTATGTTTGATATATTTTTTAACTTCTACAAAATTCAAATTCTCAAAAATCCGTATTTTGATGTATATCATATGAAAGGTCTTTCAAATATCTCTCTTATAATATATACATATGTGTTTAAAAATCCTAGAAAAATCCTTAGCTCAGAAAAATTTCGATACCGATGATATCTGAGGTCTCCAGAAAATAGTTTTGAACAAACATATGGAAAGTCAGATGGACAGACGGAGATCACTAAATCAACTTTGCCATTTATATAGAAAAATTCAGTCTTTATATACTTTATAGGTTTAATCTAAGATAGTATTGGACTGTAAGATAGTCATAACCTAATACACTTCCAGTGGTAAGTACCAGTCCACTCAGGAATAATTGGCAATTAAAGAACTTTGCTATAAAAGGCCATGATTTTGCAATTTACTGTTTCTTCATTGTACCAGACACCACTTTCGTGTGGAGGGTATATTAGGTTTGTGCTGATGTTTGTAACGCACAATAATATTGGTCCTACATCCACCTTAAAGTATACCAATCGGCTTAGAATCACTTTCTAAGTCGATTTATTTATGACCGTCCATCTGTTCGCATGTCTGTTTATCCATTTAAACATTGTAATCAAACTACAGGTCGCATTAGTAGTTAATTTCATGATATTTGGTACGTGATCGTCCTAGGGGCGTAGCCTATTGAAAATGGTTACTTTTTCCTTCTAGCCATCATACAACTGAACCGCCGAATAGGTCCTGTAAACTTTGTAATCAAACTGCAGGTCGCAATTTTGAAGATAATGCAATGAAATTCGGTACATGATATTTTATGACTACAGGTACGAACCCTATTGAAAATAGTTAAGATCGTTCCATTATTTCAGCTAGCCCCCATACAACTGATTCTCCCGGATAGAGCCTTAGAGTTCATAATTATGTTTAATTTATTCGTATCACGACAAAAAGCGATACAACTAAGTTTTATAATTGCATTGATAACTATGCCAAATTTAATAATGATTGGACCTAGTCCTCATACAAAAACCCTTTCAGAAAATAACATAAATATCCACAATTCGCTTATAAAAGGCTATTTTTACACAAAAATGTATTTTAACACAAAACTGCATTAATTACAAAAACATTTATTTTTGCACCATAACATATTTTTTACAAAAGGATTTATATTTTACACATACATGTAGTTTTAACACAAAAATGTGTTTTTTTTTACACTAAAATGTATTATTACACCAAAAAGTAATTTTTCAAAAATGCATTTTTACACAAAATATACATTTATACAATAAAAATACTCAAAATGTACTTATACACAAAAATGTACTTTTACACAAAAATGTATTTTTACACAAAATAACAAAACTTATTTTTTAAGCAAAATTAAGTTTTTTACACAATAATGTATTTTTAGACGAAAATGTATTTTTACAAAAAAAAAAATTATTTTTACACAAAAATGCATTAATTACATTAACATTTATTTTTACACAAAAACGTATGTTTTTCACAAAAGTATTTAAATTTTACACAAAAATGTAGCTTCAACACAAAAAGTTTTTTTTTTACACAAAAATGTATTTTTACACAAAATTACAAAACTTAGTTTTTAAATAAAATTAAGATTTTTACACAAGGATTTTTTTAGACGAAAATGTATTTTTTACACAAATTAAGTTTTACACAAACATGTAGTTTTTTAACACAAAAATTTAATGTTTTACCCAAAAATGTATTTTTACACAAAATGTATTTTTACACAAGAATATATTTTTAGACGAAAATGTATATTTTAATTGTTTCTCATGTTTTGTGGCAGCATTTATTACTAATTAAATATAATCAAAATACACAAAAATATTTTAATGATTTTATAGAATTATAATTATTTAAACAAAAACCACTAAAAATTCATATAAGCAATTATTTAATTAATCAATTATTTATATTGAATTATTATTAATTTTATTATTGCAAGTAAATGAGAAGGCTGCAATGTGCTATAAAGAATGTTATTTTCAATGTAACTTGTTAATAGATTTTAGTTTTAGAGAAAATTTAAATATTTTATTGCCTATTAAATACATATTTAGTTTATATCCTTTTCCTATGGCATATAAAATTCATTCATTTATAACAAATTTGTTGTTAATATTTAGTATTTTTATGGTGCATATGAAATATTCTATATACCCAATATATTTTCCTATAAAATAAGAAAATATTTCATAAAGAAATTTATGAATATACAATTATTTTTCATTCAATTACGAAAAAAAAAAAATGCTTCAACAAAATATGTATGTATGTAAACTGCATACTTCTTGTGTTGTATGGTCCTGCTAAAATAAAATACTGTTACAAACAATTTCATTCTTTAAAATTTTTTATTATTGAATAGATTTGCAAATATTTTTTGTTGACAATAGAATATAAAAATTCATGAATGTTGTTCGGAAAAAGTATGTTTTAGATGTGATCATATAAAACTCTGCATTGCATTCATTTTGGGGGAAGAAACACATTTTTTTCTAGTTAGTTTCTGTGTAATCTGCTTATTTTTTTTATTTTTAAATTTTAACAAACATGAATTGAAACAAACTATATGAAATACTGAAAATAAGGGTCTTTTAAGTTCTTAAATCTTGTGAAAGAGGGGGGAAATTTAAATGGGGAGCAATAGAAAAATTTTGTTGCTAATTTAATTATTAGTTTTTAGTTGAAAATTTTTGTTAAAATGGTTGGTAAATACAGAACTGAATTATAACTGAACTAGAATAGAACTAGAACAGAACAAAAACTGAATTAGAACAGAACTAGAACAGAACAAAAACTGAACTAGAACTGAACTAGAACTGAACTAGAACTAAACTAGAACTGAACTAGAACTGAACTAGAACTGAACTAGAACTGAACTAGAACTGAACTAGAAATGAACTAGAACTGAACTAGAACTGAACTAGAACTGAACTAGAACTGAACTAGAACTGAACTAGAACTGAACTAGAACTGAACTAGAACTGAACTAGAACTGAACTAGAACTGAACTAGAACTGAACTAGAACTGAGCTAGAACTGAGCTAGAACTGAACTAGAACTGAACTAGAACTGAACTAGAACTGAACTAGAACTGAACTAGAACTAGAACTGAACTAGAACTGAACTAGAACTGAACTAGAACTGAACTAGAA